CCCCAGGCTGTTCCTCCTCCTGCAGGAAACTTCCCTGTTCAGGGCTGACTCGGGTGGACCCCCTAGGTCCAAGGTGGAGACTGAGTCATCACCTTTCAATCTTCCCCAGGCAGGCAAATGCCTTTCCAGACCTCCTTCCTGAGGTGTCCACACCCAGAGACAGGCTGACAGAGACCACCCAGGTTCCATGGTTTCAGCCCCTGCCCTCAGCACTCCATCCTCACCCGCCCCTCCTCCCCCAACCCCATATCAGCTGTACTTGTAACCTCTGCCTGGAGCCAAGACCTGTGGGTACTCAAACTCAGACACCTGCTCGGTCCGCTGTGAGAAGACAAACGTTCCTTCCTGTGGCCTTTAGCCATGGGTGGAGCCTGCCAGGACGGGACGTGGGACGTGGAAGGTGGGGGTGGGGGCTCTGCTGGGCTTTCAGGGCGGTGATCTTTCTCATCCAGGTTTGAGAAACAGGGCCACGGACCATTAGGGTCCCCACCTCCTGCTTCCCTGTTGTGTCTTGGAAAAGCACAGGGTCAAGCATATCGTAGCCATTAGTAACCACCCTCCTGCAGGGCAGAAACTGGGAGTCTTACTCCCCACTGAATCCCTGGTACTAGGCTTGACACCCAGTGCATGTGCGCCAGGGGAATGAAGGAGTGAGTGTCCCAGTCAAGTGTCAGGTGAAATGAATACAGAGCCCCCAGCCTGTGTTCCAGGCACCTCCACCTACAACTTGCAGCCATGCTGCAGACACACCAAGGGCCTCCTGCTATCTGTCCAACCAGCAAAAACCACTGAATCACACAGGCGGTCCACCAAGCAAGGAGTCACAGGCAGAACAATGAACTCCTCCCTCAGAGCAGTCAAATGCCACCTGCACAAACCTTCCCATGTGAACAGACATAAGAATATATCCACACGGTTATCATAGGGCATTGAGGGTAAGGCCCGCAGCGCCTGGTGCGGGGTGGGCACCACAGGAGGCTCCCATCAGTAGTCAGCTGGGTGCATTCCCACCACGTTAGACAGCACCACGCGCCCAGTGGGTGCTCACTAAGCGTGTCGTGAACACAGGATGGGTGCGGAGGAGGCAGAGAAGGAGATGCCAAGAGGCAGAAGATACTCATTCTGGCGGGAAGGAATGAGAGTCTGATAGGAGCAGACGTCCCGGCACCCCCAAAGGAAGGGAATCTGGGTGGAGAAAGGGGTGGAAGGCTCTGCAGAGAGTTCACATACAGCACTGGGTGAGTGCGTAAATGAACATCATTGCCCCCAAGTTCATGCAGCAGCAGGCGCCCTCCACAGGCTCTGCAGGCTCAGCGCCCTCCCTGGTCCCTGTGATGCCAAATCCCTGCACCTCACCTGCTCCTAGGGAAGCCCCAGCCTTTGCCTGGCATCTGCTGAGACAGAGGCAAGGGAAGACCTCAGCAGGGACAACTCACAAGCACAGAAGGTGGACAGCTCCCTCCTGTGCTGCTCCAAGTGTGGAGAGCCTCTCTTTATCGCATCTCTCCCCCTCCCCGCCCCCACCTTGGAGTTCTCTGTACATCTCACTTCCCCCTGGCTGTGAGTCCCGCTGTACCTCCCGGGGCCATTCTAATCAGGGATCTGCTGGGCAGGAGTTTGGCCGAAGTTGGGTGACTACATGCACACAAAGCCCTGATTTGGCAAAAGCCCAAAGTTAAGATTTATGCATTTAAGGTACATCAATTTTACTTTAAAAAAAAAAAAAGGTGTATGAAGAGTCAGAGGTAAAGGTGACATGAGAATGGCCGAGTATTGGTAATGCTGCTGCAGGTGAGGGGAATACCGGGTTTTCACTATACCATTCTGTACACATCCATATATTCAAAAGTTTCCAAAATTAAAAGTAAAAAAAGAAAATCAGAAGCCCAGACTTGGAGACTTGGACAGGGAAAAGGCCTGGGGAGCTCGGTAAGGCACGCCCCTGAACATCGGCAGCTGTGGTGACTTCCCCTCCTTGTCCTTGGTTTGGAGAGAAAAGGAAGAGGGGGTAGGAATGCCCAGGGGAGCTGGGTCCCCAATGCTGACACCTGGTTTCCCTGAGCTGGGATTTGTGGGCACACCCTTCTCCCCTGGGGGACCCTCCTGCCCCTCAGTCTCCAGCCGCACCAACTCCACATCGCTGAGGGAGATGGTGGATTTACTTCTCTTCACTGTGAAGCAGCGGGACAGAGAAAACATGAGGGAACAGAGTGAAGGGGGGACAGGAGCCCGGGGAGCCGGTCAGTCACCCCCAGCCGCAGGCACCCACCTGTCACTGAGCACCTTGCTCTCCAGCTCCAGGGTCCGTCGCAGCAGTGTCTTCTGGCGGCTGTACTCATCCATGAGGGCCTCGTGTTCCCCAGACAGGTGCTCATGGAGCGCGCCCAGGCACGCGTGTTCCCGCTGCAGGGCCTCGTGGGCTGCCGCCAGTTGCTGGTGCTGGAGCTGCGTGTTCTTCTCTATGAGCGCAGTGAGCGAGGCGCTCTGGGGGCTCAGAGTGGAATTTTCCACCTTCCAGGAGGGAGAAGGGGATGATGCCTCACCAGGTTCAGGCCCAGGGGGACCACAAACTCCGGATCCCTGGATCCCCACGTCCTCCCACACAGGGAAGGGCCAAGAGAAGGTCAAGTTTTGACACAAAAATAGCAGGACCCTCGGGACTGGCAAAACCCAGCCGTGCTGAGGACAGTTCTACCTGCACTCAAGGAACTGCTCTGGGAAGGCCCACGGCAGAAACAGACTGTCACATGGGCCTAAGCTTAGTCCTGGGCACCTGTCTACACATGTGACTTTTCTTGAGCAATTTATGCCCTTTCTCTGGATAACCTCCTTGGGTACCCTCTCTGACCACTTTGAAAAGTACATGGAAATTCAGTAAGGACATAGAGAACCTGAACAGCAATACCAACCCAATTAACCAATATTTTCACAACACCCATCCAACCGCATTCAAACCACCAGAGAGTTGACCAGGGAGGAATGCGTCCTAACGCATTCTGAGGCCAGAATTACCCTGCTGTCCAGCTGCATGTCCCGCTCCAGACCCTCAGGCTGCAGGGTGTCCAGAGACGTCTGCAGCCTCTGGTTCTCCAGCAACAGGTCCTGGCTTTCCCGCTCCAGGGCGTGGACCCTTTCGGGGGCCGTCGTCAGGGCGCTGACCTCCATGGCCAGCTTCTCATTCTCCTCCTGCAGCCGATGCAGCTCCTGCTCCAGCTCCTGCGCCCGGTGCAGCTGCTGCCGCTCCCACTCCAGCTTGCTGACTCTGCTGCTGGTCTCCATCACTGTCTGGTGGAGGACTTTGTTCTCATTCTCGATGTCCTGCAAGCAGGCCTCACTGCTGGCCTGTGAACTCTCCCGTAGCGAAAGCACCACTTGTTCAAGATCCTTGATCTGCAGGAAAACACAATGGAAAGGACACAGGCGTGATTTCATCCAAACTGGGAGCCCAAAGTGTAGGCCTGGAATGTTCATCTCATCATGGACCCAAAGGACGTCCTAACGTTTCCCAAAGGCCTGATGTGGACACAAGGTGAAGGGCATGGAGATCCCCACCCAGACAGTTCAAGTCTAAACACTTTCACAGAAGCCAGATGACTTAGAAACAGAAACCGCATCTTCTCTTAAAACAATGAAAGTGATTTCCTTTGGCTTTTTACCCTGGTCCACAGTGGCCCGAGAGCTGACCGCCTACCCCTGTGGCCGCTCCTCACACCACTCTCCCCTGCAGACATTGCACATGATCTTCCCTCTGCTGTGAATGCTCACCTGCCTCCACCCCCAGCCTCCAGGTTCTCTGGCTCCTTCTCATCCTCCAGGGCTCAGTGTGATTGACTACACTGCAGGGAAGCCCTGCACCACGATTCTAAATGTCCTGCACCTAATAAGACTCTCCCTGGACCCACGTATATTCCCTCAATAGCACAGGTCTGAAGACACCTGACTTGTCACCTATCATTCAACCTGCTAGACTGGAAGCTGTATCAGGGGAGGGTGGATGCATGTCTCTTATGTATACACAGCACCACCCCAAGCCCCCTTTTTTGCTCTATAGAGGCTGAAGAACTCAAGTACTGATACCCAGCCTCCCTTGCAGCTAGGGTTAGTCATGTGTCAGGTGTGGCCAATGAGATGTCCACAGAGGATCCCGGGAGGCCTTCCCTCTGTCTCTTCACCCTCCACATTCTTCCTGCCCACTTCTTGGCGAGGTACAACAGCCACGGCCAAGACTGGCAGAGCAGGAAGAGAGAAGCCTGGTTTCTGGGTGGTGTCCCTGAGCCACTGCCCCAGCACTGGGCTGCCTACCCTAGGGCTTGCTGTATTGTGGGGGTGGATTAATCCTGGAGGTTCTCCAGGGCTCTGAGTATGAAGTTGGACATTTGAAGGGGGATCTTTGTCCTGCGGGCTATCCCATGTGCTGCAGGACATTTAGCAGCATCCTGGCCTCTCCCACCACAGCCATGAGCACCTCCCCTCTCCTCCCCCAAGTCATGACAATCAAAAACAAGATTGCCAGTGTCCCTGGGGGCAATATCTGCCCCCCCCCCCCCCCGCGCGCCCTGCTGTGGCTGGAATTGCTGGTCTGACTGGAGCTGACAAGGAAACTGGTAACCCGGGAATCACTGCTGGATTCCCAGGACATCCTATGATCCTGGACTCTCCCTCTTGCAGGCAGGGGTGCCAGGGGAGGCATGGCGCTGGAGGGCCTACCTCCTGGACTCTCTCAGCCTTCAGGGTCTCTATGTCACAGAGCAGCTGTTCTCTCTCCTCCATCAGCTCCTCACAGAGAGTCTCCAGATCCTGGTTGGTCTGCTTTTCCCTTTCCATCTGGACTCGCAAGTCTTCAATCTGTAGAGCCAAAGACCCAGCCCATGCAAAAGTCCGTTTCAGCGAGTGAACTGTGTTTTAAAGCAAACCTGAAACCTGTGAGCCCCACAGATCACTTTTTGAAGTATAGTAACCTCCATCTTGGGTAAAAACTGCTGTTTAAAACTTTAACCCTGCTACTCTGTAAACGTTTGCTTGCTTAAATAATAGGGAAATAAGACTACTCCCCACTCCAGAGAGGACATAAACTCTGCCCCAGACAGAGTTGTCAGTGCTGGCACCTGGCCAGGCCTTGAGATATGGTCTCATGGCCCTGTCCGAGCAAACAGGACTTTTTCTCAGAAGGTCCTGAAGTCTCATTCTAAATTTGGAAAACAAAGAGCTGAAAAACATATAAATTGAAAAGACTTCCACCATATTGGGCTCCAGAATTTGAGAAGCAAGAGTTCCTCTGGGCCCGCTAGGGCTAGCAAAAATGAATAGGACTCCAAATAAATTTGGCTTATTGATTAAGGCTTCTTCTGATTTACTGCAGAACAGGAAGGGAGAAGCCTGGGACCTGGGTGGCATCCCTGAGCCCCTGACCCAGCACTGGGAGGCCTACCCTGGGGCTTGTTGTACTGTGAGGTAGATCAACCCTGGAGGTTTGCCAGGCTTCTCAGTGATGCTGGACATTTGAAGTGGGATGTTTCTTTGTCCTGCGGGCTGTCCCGTGTGCAGCAGGACATTTTCAGCATCCTGGCCTCTCCCCACCACAGCCAGGAGCACCTCCCCTCTCCTCCCCCAAGTCATGACATTCAAAAACAAGATTGCCAGTGTCCCTGGGGGCAATAACTGTCCCTGGCCCCTCCCCCTTTTCGTGGCTGTAATTGCTGGTCTGACTGCAGCTGATGAGGAAACTGGTAACCCAGGAATCACTGCTGGATTCCCAGGACATCCTATGATCCTGGACTCTCCGTCTTGCAGGTAGGGGCACCAGAGGAGGCATGGGCACTGGAGGGCCTACCTCCTGGGCTCTCTCAGCCTTCAGGGTCTCTATGTCACAGAGCAGCTGTTCTCTCTCCTCCATCAGCTCCTCACTGAGGATCTCCAGATCCTGGTTGGTCTGCTTTTCTCTTTCCATCTGGACTCGCAAGTCTTCAATCTGCAGAGCCAAAGACCCAGCCCATGCAAAAGTCCGTTTCAGGGAGTGAACTGTGTTTTAAAGCAAACCCAAAACCTGTCAGCCCCAGGGAACACTTTATCAGACCTTTTAACAAGGGAAAACCTTCCGTCCCACTTCTTGGGGAAGTACTTCAGCCACTGCCAAGACTGCAGAGCAGGAAGGGAGAAGCCTGGCTCCTGGGTGGCATCCCTGAGCCGCTGCCCAGGTCAGGCCTAGTTGCACAGTGAGCTCCCCACACCCAGACCATCACCTCTCAGCCCATGGTGTGTACTTCCAGCTCATGGTAGAGAAAAAGGCCATGGACACCAATCGGTCAGCTTCCCTCCCAGCTTTCCACTGCTCACTCTCAATGCTTCCATCTTAGGCCGTGTCCACTACTGTCCTGAGGGTCAGGCCACATTCCTGGGGCCAGCAGCCACCACTGGATGTCCTACCGGGACTTCACCCAGTTGGTGACATTCCTATTCATCCAGCTGCTCTGAGGGGTCCTCTGCCATCTCTCTCCCTCCTTTCCCCTCCAAGTAAATGGAACACCATGGCCTGTGCTCGTTCCCCATGTGGCTCCCCCTCCACACCCCACTGCTGCCCAGGCCAGACCAGTTCCGTCCTGCCTGGACGAAGCCCAATCAGCAGCCCGTCACAGAGCTCTTCTGCGGGACCCACCGGTGCCCACTCCCTGAACGTGAGCTGCCTGGACCCGCAGGTCTCACACTCTGTGCCTGACACCTGAACACTGTGATGGATCCAGATTCAGACTCAGGGTTGGCCCTGAGGTGCGACTCCCAGGCGAGGCCCATGGTGCTGTCCCTTCTCACTGACACCAAACTCATGACCACCTGGGAGGTCATGAGGCGGATGGAAACCCATCTCAGCCTAGTGAGCTCTCCCTAGGGGAAGACACCTGAACACCTGAACACTGTGATGGATCCAGATTCAGACTCAGGGTGGGCCCTGAGGTGCGACTCCCAGGCGAGGCCCATGGTGCTGTCCCTTCCCACTGACACCAAACTCATGACCACCTGGGAGGTCATGAGGCGGATGGAAACCCATCTCAGCCTAGTGAGCTCTCCCTAGGGGAAGACACCTGAACACCTGAACACTGTGATGGATCCAGATTCAGACTCAGGGTGGGCCCTGAGGTGCGACTCCCAGGCGAGGCCCATGGTGCTGTCCCTTCCCACTGACACCAAACTCATGACCACCTGGGAGGTCATGAGGAGGATGGAAACCCATCTCAGCCTAGTGAGCTCTCCCTAGGGGAAGGGAGGGCCTTCATGGAAGGACAGGAGTGAGGGCTCCAGTTCCATGGCAAAAAGAAGCAGAGAAGATGGGGGTGTCCAGCGGGGGTGTCCAGCCAGGGGCTGAGAGAGCCCAGGAGGTAGGCCTTCCAGCGCCATGCCTCCCCTGGCGCCCCGGCCTGCAAGAGGGAGAGTCCAGGATCATAGGATGTCCTGGGAATCCAGCAGTGATTCCCAGGATACCAGTTTCCTTGTCAGCTCCAGTCAGACCAACAATTCCAGCCACAGCAGGGCAGGAGGGGGGGGGCAGATATTGCCCCCAGGGACACTGGCAATCTTGTTTTTGATTGTCATGACTTGGGGGAGGAGAGGGGAGGTGCTGCTGGCTGTGGTGGGAGAGGCCAGGATGCTGAAAATGTCCTGCTGCACACGGGACAGCCCGCAGGACAAAGATCCCCCTTCAAATGTCCAACTTCATACTCAGAGCCCTGGAGAACCTCCAGGATTAATCCACCCCCACAATACAGCAAGCCCTAGGGTAGGCAGCCCAGTGCTGGTGCAGTGGCTCAGGGACACCATCCAGAAACCAGGCTTCTCTCTTCCTGCTCTGCCAGTCTTGGCCTTGTTCCCCCCTCACCATCTTACTGTTAATCCTTCTCCCCTGCCGCCCCGTCTGTCCCAGTGAAAGGAATGTTATGTCCAACCTTTGCATATCTGGTGTGGCTGCTTCTGGTCTGAAGATGTGACTGCCCCCTGTACACACGCACCGCTACTCTGGCTGGACACCCCCGCTGGACACCCTCATCTTCTCTGCTTCTTTTTGCGGTGGAACTGGAGCCCTCACTCCTGTCCTTGCATGAAGGCCCTCCCTTCCCCTAGGGAGAGCTCACTAGGCCGAGATGGGTTTCCATCCTCCTCAAAGCACCAGGGTTGGGCCGAGGGCTCCTGTGGGGAGGCTCCAACTCCCCAGAGCACGCGGATGCCAGGGGCCTGCCCATCAGTCCCTGTGCTGCGCTTGTGTTTCCATGATAGGCCCCAAAGTGCTGCCCCTCTTCCTCTCAAAACCAGGACTCCTGCCTGAAGGAATGAACTCTTAGGTGTCAGTGCAAAGTGAGGGTGGGGGACACACCCTCTCTAAGGTCCACAGAAGGGTCGTGAGTTACAGGGAAGGACATGAACTTCGGGAACTAAGGTTTACACAGACGGAAGGGAGCCTACAGCTTGGGAGACACTGGGTGGTGGGAGAGCCAAGCTGGCACCGGGGGGCCTGGGACTCTGGGCCACCTGTCCTGGCTGACCCTTGTCTCTCCTTCTCAGACACCTCCCAGAGGGCCATGTTGTCTGGACGTGTCCAAGGCTGGGCCTGTCCTGGCTCCAGGGAGGTCAATGTCAGGCCATGTCCCCTGTGGTTTTTAGCTGATGGCCCAGATGCACCATCAATCCAACATGAGGGAGGACATGTGATGCAGCCAAGCCCCGAGCAGGCTGAGCAGGACAGGGAGCCCCTCCCTCCCACCAGGGGCTCGGAGCCAAGACAGGCCTCCCAAGGGCTGTGGCAGGACTGCCCGGAGTCCTACAAGGAACTGATGGAGAGGAAGCAGGGGATGGGACCCGAGAGACAGGGCTAAGGAGTCATGTGGGGAGGCGGCAGCTGTGTGTGTGGAGGAGGGACCAGAGTGGACCCCGAGGGCAGGAGAAGTGTCAGGGGTCATCTCTCATCCCTGCCGGGAGCTGGGCCAGAGGCTACAGCACAGGCCTCTGCAGCTCACCGCTGGGGACCCGCCCCATTGGAGGTTCTCATCTTTCTAAAGGTCAAGCCTTTCTATCTCAGCCAAGGTCGGGCTGCCATTTACAGAGACATTCACTGTGCCCAGCCCACATGAATCTAAAACCCAGACTTTCTGGTGGCTTTCCCTGAGCTGCGCTGCACAGAGAGACGCAGCATGAGGAGGGGCTTCCTCCCGGCCCCCAGGGAGAGGACACACTGCTTGGCAGCTGCTCTGCTGCGAGGCACACGGATCCTCAAAGGAGGAGAAGGGTGAGTCACTGAACCTTGAACATCCCACGAGAGGCCTGGAGAAACCACTTCACAGGAGGAGGGGCTGTCCCAAGCCTCACCCAGAGATGAAGTTCCAGCAGAGCCATGACCAGCGGGACCCAGGTCTCTGGTCTGCAGCCCATGTCCCTGCCATTGCCGGGGCAGCCTCAGCAAATGATGCTGGCAGGACCCCTGGGCCGGTCGGGACAGACACCCAGACACCTGAAAGCACCAGTCCTGCCAGGGGGTCAGCAAGCAGGAGTGCCCTTGTGCCTCCCTCATCCGGAATCCTGGCACCCGTCACGGTGTGCTCAGAGCCCACGACGCAGCTGTGTCACCCGTGGTGGCTACATGGACTGAGGCCCTCTGACCCAGAATGACCTGCTCAGGGAGGCCGTCGCTAGCCTCTCAGGGCCCTTCTTGCCATGTGAATGGGGTCCTGGTAACTGTAGGATGAACCTGGCTGGTGAGCCTGTCTGTCCTGCTGATTTCTGTTCTACTGCGCTACTGGGAAGACCTGGTTTGTCCAGAAAGGCAATGCCATCCAGCCATCTCTTCTTACTCATGCCCTCGACCGAAAGGAGAGAATGAGCACTGCGCTCCTGTCACCAGCAGCCATGCCCTGAAACGGCCCATCCACGGTCTCCACACGGGAGCGTGTCTTCCATTGCTGCCTCCCTCCGGGACCCACCAGTGTTTTCTGTTTTATTCTTTGTTTGTTTGTTTTATGTTTTCAATATATTAAAAAGTAACAGTACAAAATGCTGTAGTTATTAAACAGGATCTGAATAAATCCTTTATAAACTAGTTCTAAAATTAAAGGGAAACATCTTGATACATAAAAGCTTTAACAGGATTTAAAATTTTTAAAACTAGAAAGTGTATAAGACTTAACTCATTCAAATGTTCAAACAGAAAGACAACATGCATAATCCCTCTAATAAAATGTGTCCTTGCACACATACCCTGGGGACTTTAAAAATTGTAAACTTTTGAAGTTTGAGTAATAGAGGCAGCACTTAAAGGCTTTGTGAACCTTTTCTCAAACAAGCATACTTTCAGAAAATCATTTTATCTGACTCCGCATTTGCATTTTTGTTCTTCCTGAAAAGGAGAATTTACACTAGCACTGAATTTTTAATTTAAAAAAATTCATTTAGAGATATTTAACTTCCTGAGTGACTTCAGTTATTCAAACATGATTTAATGAGAAAACTCTAATATTTTAGAATGAAATAGGATGTGAACATTCACACTTGATAACCAATTAGGGAAAAACTCAAAGAGCATGTCACAGAACTTACACTTACATTCTTTATGAAGTTAAACAATATGATTTATCCCAAACTTCACCAATAATCTTTCTCAAATGTTAGTAAAATGAATCATTGAAATGACATTTTCTCATTTGTTAACAAAATACTACTGTATTTTAGACTACCAACTTGAGTGTTTTCTATTATATACACAAAATGTGATTCACTAATAAGCAGGTTCTTGCAATACAATAGATAATAGAGCATTAAAATATTTTCTTTATGATACAACCAATACATACAACACGCACCTTCCTCAATTTCTAAAACGATTAGGAATTGTGGAACTTCCTTTTGCATAAAACCCTTTCCTCTGCATGAAGCCCTGAGGTGAAAGGCTATCCATGCTAAAGCTGTCATCACAAGTCTCAGTTCTGTATTAGAGGATAGCTATATGTTTAAAAAATTTTATAAAGAAATGTGGCAACTTATAAAACTGCTCTGTACAGTTTTAACGAAACGTTCCCAGACCAATTCAGCCTAGGATGACCCTATAAAAACACTGTCCTTTGGACACTTGCTCGTTTGGGGATGAAGCCCCTTCCCAGCTCTCCTGCTGCCTCTTCTGTTGTCCTGGTCGTGGCTCCAGCCAGGTGGTTCCTGTCCTCACGGAAGTGACCATCTCCGTGTCCTCTGGGTGCTGCTCACGGCTATCGTGTCTGCTCCTGGGCAGGGAGGAGAGCTGTGCCTGGTTGACGCAGCGATGACGGTGTGTCTTGACGCCATTGGGAGCTTGGAGACTCTTGATAACGACGATTATGTGACTGAACTGATGGGGAAATCCTGACTGATCCAGCCGTGGAGAAGCACATTCACCGCCCTATGGCCTCTGTCTCATCACTGCTTGTTTCTGAACGTTTTCTGGAGGAGAGAGAGATCTCCCAATTGCCTGTGGTGATGGGGCCATGTTATCCAGGCCCTTCCGTGTCTGTGAGGAGATGTAGAGGCCGGGCTTGAATGCCCACATGACGCTGGACTATGACGACTCACATCCTGGGAGGCATCGCTACTTCCTGAGGAAACTGGGTTTTGCTGGGCCTTCCAAAGAGTTGTTTTGCATTAAGTAGATTCGTTGCATAAGTAACAGATAGTCCATGTTGGAGATTCAGAAATGCAAACCGCTTTGCTTTGCCATCCTACCTTCTGGGATTTTCACTGTTATCACTGGCCCCGCCTGGTGGGAAGGGATCCGCTCCAGCCACCGCCACGGCTCAGCACAGCCCTCCCACGTGAGGCCAAGGGGTCTTCCTGATGCTCCCACTGCGCACTCTCCGAAGCCCAAGTCCTCAGCAACCAGGCGTCCCTAAGTAAATGTCATCACGCTCCTCTGACCAGCATCAACCCAGTGCGCAAGCTCGGAGGCGGGTGCTCCATGAAAGCCACGGCTCCCAGGGAGGCTTGTGGAGCAGGCGTCCCCGCGCCCAACACAGGCTGGACTGGCCTGCGGAGCGCGGAGGCCTCCCTGGACTGAGGGACCTGGGACGGACACAGCGGCCGCCTTGGAAGATGGCCCTGAACGACGGGTCCCTGTGCCCCGCGACCAGGAACACGGTGGCCCTTCGCGCTCCCCTCAATGGCCTCAGCCCGCTGGCCTCAGCGCCCGTGACAGTCTCTACAGACAGCGCCCTCCTGCCAGGCCCAAGGCGACCCAGCGGGGGACCCCCTCCTTCCCAGAGGACTGGGCCAGGCATCTGGACCAGAGTCCTTGAGCGACTGGCAGCAGCGACTGGAGCCCTCAGAGAAGGGAAGGGACCCGGATGGGCGGTGCCAAGGCCTTGAGGTGACATTCTCCCCCTGCGGAACCGGAAATGCTGCAGAGCTGGGGGTGCAGGACGCTGCGTGAGGGACCTGCATGAGGGACCTGCAACTGTGTGCCCGCTTCCGCACTTGGACCCCGTCCGGTGCTTTCTAACAGGGCGCTGCTCTCCTTCCATGAGGCACTTACCACGCGCTGGACCCTTTGCCGGCACTAACTCACACCATCCTCACCACACCTACTGGTGGGTGCAATGCAACCCAATTTCACAGATGAAGGCAGCGAGGCACACAGAGGTCCATCGTGTGCAGTCTCACTGCTGCAGGGACTCCTCCTGCTGCCTAGTGATGCCTCTCCAGGAGGCCTCCTGTCCCCCTACCATAACGGTGGCTGCACTGGTCTCTGTCTGTCCCCCAGCTGCGCATGCTCACCGACACCTGGGTGCTCCCCCTGGCCACTTACATGCCTGTATGTTCCGGACACTACCCACAGGTACCTGCTTGCTGAGCTGCTGGTTCTCCTCCTCCAGCTCCTGGCGCTGGAGGCTGCTCTCCTGCAGGGCCAGGAAGGCATCCTGCATCCCCTGGATGGTGCCCTGGAGACTCTGCTTCTCCTGGTCCAGCTTCAGGAAGCAGCTGGAGGCTGAAGAGTAAAGTGGAGTCAGAGTCCATATTCCAGAGGCCTCAGCTTCTGCTCTCTGTCCCCAGCCCTGAGTCGGCCATCACCCTGAGCCCTAGGTTTTGGGGGCCGGGATGGTCATCTGGGTGCCCTCCCTTTTTCCCAGGGTGCTGTTGCTGTCTGCACCTGAGGGTTCCTCGGGCGGTTATGACCCCTCTGCTGGCTCCGCTGGGATTGTTAGGGAAGCAAGCAGAGCTTAAGAAGAAAGCAGGTGATGGTAGAGAGAAGCCAATGCAAAAGTTCAAGATGATGGAACTGCTGGAACCACTTTTTTACAAAATTGTAACCTGACCATCAAGTCAAGGATTGCAGAGACTAACAGATGGCAAAGAGAGTGTGTTCTCCGTGCCAGCCTCAGAGTGGTGGGAGTCCGGGAGGCTCAGCCGAGGGTTTAGAGGGGACAGGATCATTGACCCGCATGTCTGTGGGTGGAAGAGGCTATGGGGCACATATGCCCAGTACTTGCCACCTCTGGGTAAATTCCTTCAGTCAGAGATTTCATTTTGTACTTTCACAATTGCATTGAAAAAGAATGAGACAGGGACACAATGTCATTAAGAGTTCTCATTAGGGCCCTTGAGATAATTGTCGAAAGGCTACTAGAGACCAGCCACTACGATGTCCAATCCAGTGACAAGAGCGAGAGCTGCCAGGAGACAGAAGAAGACCAAATTATCCCAAGAAATAGCACATGCTGCCATAGTGGAGGCAAGGAAAGGTTCTCAAGCGATCCAGCCACACAAAGAGATTAAATCAGAATCTGAAACAATGGAAATAATGGAGATAGCAACTACTCAAGAATCTGTGCCACTCAATTCTGAGATAATGGAGCAGACAGTTAGCCAAGTACAGGGCATGCTGTCAGTTGCCCAGACTCAATCTGCAGAATCAGCCTGCAGCATTAGAACCGCGCTTCTCCAGCTGATCGACGTGTTAAAGAAACCTCCTGAAACATCTGCTCCCCAACTTCAGGTCATTATAGAAATGATAGACCATGTTTTGAGAGACCTAAAGGACATTTGGGAAGAAATAGCTGACATTAAGAGGCACATAAGTCGACTCAGCCTGTCATCATACGTCTCGACATGTGCACCACAAGGCCACGTTGACTTAACACCCTGCTTAGATCCACAGCCGATTGCATCTGCTCTAGAGTCCTCTACGGGTCAGCTCGCACCACCCTCTCAGCCAAGCGAGATCCAGTCCTCCCTTGACGAGTTCTTCCGTTCATTCTCATAAGCAAAAATTAAGAAAGAAAAAGAAAAAGAATGAGAAAGTATAGCCAAATTGCATGAAAAATTCTAGGCGAGATGAAAACATAAGGTAAAGCCAGAAAAAGGCAGATTTCCTCTGTTGCTTTTAAACAGCTTGAATGCAGAACAGAAAAGGGAGCCCAACCTGAGAAGTATGGGAGTTCGCGGCCCTTCGCTGCCACCAGGAGGTACATGACGTTGGATAAGTCCCATGGCTTGTTCAGGAGGAAACCATGAATGTCTGAGGGGTCAGGGTTGTTCCCTCACCTGTCCCTCCAGGCCACACACTCAACCCTGGGAGCCTTATCGCACTGTACTGCTAGTAGGGCTGCTCACGAGCACCCCAAGAAGCAAAATAAGATAAGACAAGGATAAGACAAGGTATCTTTGGATAAGACAAGGACGATAAGAACAGCTATCCTTTGTTGGCGCCCCGTGGGCTAGGCACAGCCTAACGCTTCACTGTCTCCTCTCACAAGATACCCATAGCAATCCTGTGAGGCAGCTTCATTACCCCCATTTTGCAGATAAGAAAACTGAGGTGCAGAAGAGGTCACTTGGCTAACAAGTAGAGGAGCCAGTACTTTAAACCAGGCCTTTCTGTTTCAAGAAGCCACCACCCCAACCACACAAAAGTACATTCACACTTTGTTCGTGAGCCTCCAGCTAAGCAGTAGGAGTTGGGAACATCAAGAAGTCAGTCAGTCACTGACCTGAAAGGGCTCATGAGCTACACTGAGCATCTGAATCAGGGAGGCTTTCCAGCCCCATCAGCCACCTTGGCTTCTAACAAGTACATTTGGTCTGAGCCAGTCCCTGCCAGCCAGCACTACTTCTGTGTCCCACCAGGGGGCAGTGGTGTTCCCCAGGAACCTGAACTCCCAGAGCCTGGATTCCCAGGAGTGAGGAGACACCAAACCACAGAAAAAAACTAACTTCTCACACAGACTCATAATTCAATGAACTGATTTTAGGTTTGGAGTAGATAGGACGCCTTGGAGAGAGGACTACCCAGCTGCTTTCAACAGCCTTTCCATGACGCTTAGGAATGTTGCTCAGAATTGAAAAACCAGCCAAAGACCTTCCTGGCTCTGCAGAGCTCTAAGCAAAGCCTGACCTGCACTCACAGGTGCACGCGCGCTCTTGTTGGACACAGGAACTGGCTTGTTGTTTGCTGGGTGCTGAGGCTTCTGTTGCATGGCCGCCCCACCCACCTTCCCTGGCCAACCCCACACCTCCTCTGAGGGCTGGGAGGGGACACACAACAGAGGGAGAGGTAGAGGCCTGGGTCACCTGTACAGCAGCCACTGAGCAGCCCCTGCCCAGGAAGATGGAGAGCAGACTACACCCATCTGCCAGATTATGAAATCAACGGAGGAAACCATGCCCCGGGTACAACTATGATGGAGGTGAGTGACCACTGGGGACATCTCCTGCATCCAGAGCTTCCAGTGCTCCACGGAGAGATCTAAGACACCCTCTGGGTGTCAGCGTGCTGTCATTTGGAAGCTTCTGTGTCTAGCTGAATGGGAACTGAGAAATCTGGCAGCACTTCCTTTACATTTCATGTCCTGACTTCAAGGCTGCCAGGCCCTTCATGTTCTTGGAGAGAATTGCAATGAAACAGTTCCAAATGGCCCTTGAATAAAACCCTATTTATTTGGGCTGACACACGAGTTTCAGAGCCAAGGGCTCAGCTCCCTGGCTTAGGGAGAAGCCGAACAGTCAGCTGCTCCTGGAGAAGGCCCTTGGTTATCTATTAAAGTGTAATAGTCTTCAATCAGGTTGGCTCCACGGCACCAGCGGCTGCTGCCTACCCTCTGACAGCTGGTCCAGCTCCCAGCGCAGTTGGGCGGACTCCTCCACACTCTGCTCCTGTGCAGCCTTGAGGGCCAAGTTCTCTTCCTGCAGCTCCTCAAGGTGTTTCTGGTCTGTGTCCTGGGCCTGAATGTGCAGAAAAGGGGATGGGGTGAGGATTCGGACTGGAGCACGCTCTGGACAGGTCCTGGCCCCTGTGCATCTGCCCTCATTCCCCCAGGATGAAGGGCCTCCATGCCCCTGCTCACTTCCAAAAACACAGCTGCACAGAAATGACTCCAACACCTTGCCCAGCTGTGAGAGTTACAACCACTGAAAGGTATGTTGACCGAGTGACCTAGGCCCTAAGTCAGGGGTGGGCAACCTTTTTGTGAGTGCGTGCCAAAATCAGCAAAATATCTGACTCAAAATTCTTCTGCGTGCCAGCCCTAATTTTTTGAGAACATGTGATGCCTACTTGATATTTCTTAAGGTGCACATATGTGTAGAACCTTGAAGAAATAATAAAATTCATTTGAGCAACAAAAACACAGTATATGATGATGAAAAATACATTTATTTTTTAATGTATACATGTACACTGATAGTCTGACAGAAAACTTTATGACTCGTTTGATATTATCAGTGGGACTTTTGCTGCTGCATCACTGATGACAGAGATTTTACATCAGATTTATTATTTCGTGACCTTCAGAGATATGCACGAGCTACTACTTTCATCTGTCAGGCTACTCCTATTATGAGACTTAACAAAATTCATCACTGAGAACAAAGATTCACAATTGTAAATGGAAGATCATATGAGAGGGTTTCAAGTGCCAGCAAAAGTTACTGGCGTGCCATGTTTCACACGAATGCCAGGGGTTGCCCACCCCTGCCCTAGGTCCTAGGGGATGAAGTTCTCTGAGTGGTGTCTGAACAAAGTGACGTACAGCACAGGGCTTTAGAGCAAATGCTATAATGACGGCAGCTCTGTGGCCCCTTAGCAGGCCTAACGCCTTGGAAAGGCCATAGGGACTCACACATCACAGCTCAACCCACATCATAAACGCCAGAGGAGACCCTTTTTGCAAAGAGGCCCACATCCATCCAACCTCACAGGAAAGCAACACAACATCAGGCCCTCTCTGTGTTTGGAGCCTTCAGTGGTGCCCACTCAAGCCACTGAAGTTAGCAAGCGACTCTCTGCCATCAGCGGGTCATTGTGCCGGCGGCAGCAACAACCTAGTAGCTGAACATCAGAGAAGAGCACAACATGAACCTAAAACCGCCCCCATCTGTGTTACACGTGGCGATGACAGCCTGTCCTACCAAATGTAGGCGGCGCAGCTTTGATTTCAGCTGCGCGTTCTCCTCCTCAAGCTCGTATAGCTTATCGACCCGGGACCAAGCGACAGTCAGCTGCTCCTGGAGAAGGCCCTTCGTGTCCATTAGGGTAAAATTATCTTCAATCAGCTCCTGGTCAGCAAGAACATACATGAGAGCAATGAGGTTAAGGCCCCTGGTCATGACGACAGCTCTTCCAGGCATCTGGACCCAAACCAACAACCTAGGGGTGACTCTGCTGCCGCGGGAAGTTCTGTCTCCACTTTTGAGCCCCTGCCCTTCTCCATTAGGCCAGGCAGATGGAAAAATCCCCGAAGAAAGACGCTATTTAACTTTGGGAAGGGAACACTGTGAGAGTGTCTGACACGTACAACCTCGGGTGGTTGGACGAGTGCACCTGCTGACAGATATAGGGCTTGGCTGAGCCCCTTTCCTTCACAAAGAAGGGGTGGGGCTGAGAGTCCTGGGTTTGAGGGCTGAGGCTAGGCCTCTCAGTCACTCCACTGATCTTGGTTCTGGAACAAAATTCAGATAAGCTTTTGGTCAATATGCACTTCCTATTTGAACATTTCACACACCTACTCTCAGCAGTTTCCTGGAAATGAGGGGTCTGTAAGACACAACAAACAAGTACTATGGGCCTCTGTGTGTCAGGCACATGCTGGGAGTGGGACGCAATGGCTGGGCCCTCAAAGGCCACCTAATGGGAAGAGTCCATGGTACTTACTCCTATCCCAGTGCCCAGCACACAGGGGAACCGTTCAGTTCATTCCGCTCAGCCCTGGTCCTGCCCTCCAGAGTCCTCCCAGCGCCACTCATGTCTTAGGCGGCTGAGTCTCCCCTGAATGCCCTCACAGTTTGCGAGCACTGATACTCGCGGATGTGTCTGTTTCTCTCAGGGAGCAGTTTTCCAAGGCTTGCCTCGCTCATGAGAGCAGGCCGGTAGCTCCTGCTTATCCATCACCTGTTCATTTCCCCGCATGGGCCAGAACCCCAGATTCTCGGTGGAGGGGAAACCGTACACCTACCTCCAGTAGACACGGTTCTGGTCAAAGCCTGGCAGCGGGAAGGGTTTGGTCACTGACTCTGGCTTCACCTGGCCGCCCCCTCTCTGCCTAACCCTGACCCTGCACTAGGTGCTCTCTGTCTCTGCCACATTCACTCTGCACAACAGCCTCCAGAGGGAGGCAGGGACAGTCCCTTCCTACACACGAAGAGGCTGAGTTGGGTCAATTAAGGAATGAGCCCCAAGTCACAAAGCCAACCAGTGGTGAAGTTGGGCTTGAATTCAGGCTGGAGAGCTCCAGACTTGTCGCTTCACTGCCTTCAGCAGCCTGCACCCCATCCTTAAGGAGCCCGGACTAGTATCAGCGATGTGAGCCAGAGTACATGGAGGGGCTTCACGCAGGAAGAAGGTCCAACTCTCCCTCTTTGGCCACTGCCCCCAGCATTCGGATCTAGTGTTCCAGCCGGTTTACCCACCAGTACTCACCAGTATCACCATAATCCCAGGCCCTGAGTTCCATAGCACAGCCTGCCCCATTCACCCTTACAACCAACTCCTACCCAGCCTTCAAAACCCAGCCGGAATTGGGGTGAGCACTGTCCTCGCTGATCCCTGGGCCCCGGCACACGGGCCTCGGAGAACAGTGTGACTCATTCTCTATGTGGCCTGGCCTCCACGGACCACTCTGTTTCTCTTGTAATTCATTTACTAATGCAAAGTGTAAGGCATTGCTAGTTTCAGAGAAAAATTATTAATCAATATGAGAAATGTTGCTGCTGTTATCCAGAGGCACACACCTTGAGAACACGAAAAAGGGGTTCCCATGGGAAGCCCTGCAAAAGCCCAGAAGCTCCCCAGTGCCAGGAGCGAGTCTTGCTTTGTGTTAGATCCCCTGCTCCTGGCGCAGGGCTTGGTGCCACACAGGCCTTCAGTCACTGCGTCGGCGTGACTGAGCGAGGCTGCTTGGACAGGCACAGAAAAGACACGGAGACAGGGGCTGAGCCCTGAAACCCACCCCATCCACGGGGCAGAGTTCGGCTGAGATGTGGGGGCTGCCTTAGGTCCCCAGTGTGCAGGAGGCTGCGGAGGGCACAGCCTGGGGAAGCTTGCACATGACCTTCCGCAACCCTCCTACCTGTGAGGGAGGGTGCCTGTGCCCCACACCTGTCTGTGCTGCAGATTGATGCCTTTCATCAGCAGCTGGGCCAGGGGGCCATTTCCAGGACAAAGCCAAGAGCTGGCCCCCACCCCACCCCTCCTGGGCCGGGCTGCTTGGGCACAGCACCCAGGGTGCCTTGTCCCCAGGGAGCAGAGCAGTGATCCACCAACATTCCTGCGGGAACAGCCACTCCCTGAGTAGGTGGGAGGAGCAAACATGCCTGGAAGAGAGGGTCCTGAACTCACTGCTCACGTGAGGCAGTTGGGTGCATGGTCAGAGCGTCAGTAACCCTGCCTGGGCCTTGGTCTCCATCCCCCCTCAGCCCTGACACCCTCCTCTGAACAGACCCATAACCTCGGGATCCGAGTAGGCTACACCATGGAGAGCTTCATATGGGACTTGCCCAAATACCAGGTGTTTTACCTCTTTCATTGTATAAACCTCACGAACTAGTACAGTTATCTCTGTTTTATAGATGAGGAAGCAGTCCTGGTAAGATTTAGCCATAGAAATTACAAGGAGTCTTAAAGAAAAAGATTAGTGAATAGAAGGTCATCATTGTGGCATGAAGGAGGAGGAGGAAAAGTCCTAGAAGAATCAGGGCCTTTCAACCACATTCCCAATCCTATTCCTTCCACTACCAGAGGGAGCCCAGGGGTCGCGCAGTCAGTCTGCAATGCAGGGAGAGGGCCAGCTGGGGAGACATCGCAGCCCCTTCTCCGCTCTTCCAGGACCCAAGTGCCCACCGGCCACCTACCCTGGTCAGCCTCACCTTCATGCGGGATGCATAGAACTCTACTATGTCCTTCTGCTTCTGCCTGAGGCCCATAGCCTCCATCTCCAGCCTCTCCACGCGGCTCGCCTTCTCCCTCAGGGAGTCCAGCTCAGGGACCGGGGCACAGGAAGCCTGGGCTCTGGCTGCCAGCTCCATATTCTGGGTGGTGGGCAAAGGCAGGGGACCTGGCTCAGGGAAAGGCCCAAGTCCCTGCAGCCCCAGGAGAAGCCAGGAGCGGCCAAGCTGGTCCATGTGCAGGCCCCTGTATGTGGGCCCCACATGCTGTCACTGAAGCACATCATCCCCCAGCAGCTCCCAGGACAGCTGGCTCTCGGGCACCGCCACTTTGAGCGGGAAGGAGAGGTGTCCCAGGTCACATTCCTGGACCTGGGGCCCCGGTGACTGGGGCGTCCTAGCCCCCCACCCGCGGCCCACACGATAGGCCTCCTGCTCACATTGTGCCGGGCCGCCTGCAGCTCCAGCACCAGTTGGTACAACTGATTCCTGGTGTCTGCCAGTTGCTTTGTCTTCTCCTCCCTGGGGGCAATGAGAACACGTGGTGAGGGTTCCTCAGAAGCACATGGAAAGCCCACCACCTGGGAGACCAAAGTGGGGAAGGAGGGGGTCCTGGCTTCTAGGCGTGGAGCTGCAAAAATGCTCTGGAGTCCAAGGTGAGCTTTAAGTTGTCACTGCTGCTCTCAGACTTCAGCACAGACCTGAGCTTTCCTCTGAGGGTGCAGACAGGGAAGGAGCCCACAGAGCCACTGCTCCCTCCACAGCCAGGCAGGCATGGAGACCCCCTGGCAGGGAGGTGAAGGCTGGCAGCTTCCCAGACACCGGGCATGGTGCCATAACCAGCTGCACGAAAGGGGCAGCAGGCCCACCAGACGGGACGGGAGAGACACATCCTCCCTCCAGCCAAGAGCACCCACACTGGGCCCGAGGCTGAGCGGCAGGCTGCTGCTCTGAGTCTGCCATGTCTGGACTAGCAGGAGCCCTAAAGGCCCAGCAGAACCCTGCTGTGCAGGTCCGGGGAGGGAAGAGTGTGGGCTAGCCCAGGGCCCAACAGGGACCCAGCTCAAAGCAGAGCCCCGTCACTCCAGGGCACTGTGAGAGCTGCCCCGTTTGCTGCACTGCATGGCAGTGAACCACATGTGCGAGCAATGGGTGATGACACACGGCACAAGAGCAGAAAGACAGGGGTCACTGGGGAACTCACAGCTCCTGCCTGACGCCACGCAGGGTGGCCTTGGTGTCCGCCAGCTCCATGGCCAGGTGCTGCGTGTCCTCGCTGGGGCGGCTGCTGGTGTTCCACTCCTGGGTCATGGTCACGAACAGCTACAGCAGGGCAGACAGAGGGGTCTCACCGGCGTGCTCCTGTGCCTGGCACAGTGCCCGCACTAGAAAGTGGTGAAGAATGACCAAAAGATGGAAGAAAGTAAAAGAGAAGATGGCAGCCGAGACTGCAAAGCCAGGAGGGAGGCAGGAGAAAGTGGGGGAGTTTTTAAGAAGCCAGGATATATTTAGTGAAACAGAAGGGCCGAGTGAATGGAGCAGGCCCCCCAAGCTCAACCTCTGTCCTCACACAGGTGTCTCAGGGGACTGTGCCCTGCAGGGAAAGTGCCCACGTCCTGCCCCCATGGAAATGGGCCAGGAGGACAGACAATGTGCAGCTTGAGAGGAAGTCAGGATGAGGAGCGTGGCCATAACTAGGCCCCAGACCAAGGCTCCTCCCCACCGTCCCCCAGGCTGTTGGGCCACCCACAAACACACCTTCCTGCAATGGTCTTGCTCTATTAAGACCCTCCTGAGGCGACAGGTCATGCTGCTAGAGAGGTACTCCACCTCCTCCAGGGCCATGTCTGGGACCTCCAACCACTGCAGGTCCAACAGGCTCTCCTGGTGGCGGGTCACCTGAGGGCACACAAGGGTAAGGTGCTGCGGAGGCCGGGCAGGGAGCAGCGGAGGGTCCCTGAGAGCACCCGCCTCCCAAGGCCACGCCCCCTGGGACCTACGCCCACTCTCCCACAGCTGACCCACCTCACTGACATTATTAACCCTCGGCCCCACCAAGTTCCTGTGGGGGGCGGGCAGGCTCCTCAGCAAGTGCAGCCACACTCTGCAGCAGAGCACTTTCCTCACACACCACTGCTGCTGTCACACTAGCTCAAGGAGGACACTGACTTCCCACCAGACAGCACTCCGCCCAGTATGGGAGCTCCCTCAACTGTCCCAGGGATTCCAGTCGCGTCCATCCATGTGTCACACAAAGAGGGTAAGCCTTGGGAGGGGAGGGTCAGGAGGGATAGCATCTTATTCTTCAAATAAAATCTAACGTGAAGATGGCAAAATATTAGAGCGCTTATGTCAGAAGGTTGGGTCCATGACAATCTTATTTTTTGAGGAAACATTTCATAACCTGAAATACTTCTCAGGTGAGCCTGGATCTCATCCCCACAGGCCACACAGGACCACCTGGTTCCCCCTTTCTGCCGGGTGTGAGCGCAGGCCCACGGTCTCATCCTCACTGGGCAGCCTCTCCTCCAACTGCCGACATCACCTTCTTCAACCCAGGGACATGCCCTTGACGGGGAATCAAACCTGCGACCCTTTGGTCAGCAGTCCAACACTCTAACCACTGAGTCAAACCATCTAGAGCCTGGACCCGCAGCCTAGCCCCCTGGCAGGAGCAGGTGAACTCATCTCAGTCCAGGGCTGGAAGCACCAGGGGGTCCTGCACCTGGTGCATGGGCTCCAGAGTAGGAAACCCCTCAGGCCTCCAGGCCAGGACCCCTGCCCCAGTTTGGAAACCTGTGAAGACCCCTGAGTCCCAGGACTGCCAGGGCCCAGGCGGGTGGGGTCTGTGGAGACCCCAGGGGGTCAGGAGAGGACCCAGGGCACCCGAAATGGGACAGGGAGGCAGGGGCACTCACCCCCGCCACCAACGGGCTCTGTAGAAAGAGCTCCATGAGCTCTCGGACAGTAACGTCCATCCTGAGGCTGTGTCCACCGTCCATCGCTATGCACACAGGCTCTGGGCCCACCGTCTCTGTGCCCACCAGCTCTGTGCCAAGCAGTGCCAACGGCTACTTGCCCCACATTCCAATTGGCTCCTCACCTCACATTCTAAACTGCTATTTGCACCACATTCTAAACTGCTATTTGCTCCACATTCGAAAAAGGCTCTTTGCCCCAAATTCTAAACGGCTCTTGAGCCTGTATTCCTAACTGCTCTGGGCCCCGTATTCCAAAGGGCTCTAGCAGGGAACACAGCTGGGTCAGGGGCTGTGGCAGCTCCCTGTCAATGCTCAGTGCTTTGGAATACACAAAAATTATGACACACTCCCTATGAAATTTAAAATCTTTCTGGGCACATGAAATATGAGGAAATATAAAAGGTCTATGTCTACATCCTATGTACTTATAAATGTAAATTAACCACTTCAACATAATCTTGCCAATCTCCATTTTTAATTATTTTTTTCCATCAGCCAAATTGCAGAAATTCGATCAGTTCCTTTGAAGTAACCATTCATTTTATTTTGTTAAGTCTGACCTAGTAGCTCAGCTTGGGAGTTCTCTTTCCCATCACAGTGAACGGGACCCTCCAGTTAGTAGTTCATACATTACAACACCTAAACCCACAAGTCAGCTGCCTACAAAGGATTTGATAGAATATTAACTAGTAAGTCGTTTAGATGAAAGAAAAATTAACAAAATAAAGCTGCATATTTGGGAAATATTTGAACAAAAAGTGCCTGTGCATAGCTTTCTGTGCAAGGAGCATTAAACTAGCATATGTAAGAAAGACATTCAGAGAACAGATATGCAGGTATGTCAGAACAAATTTAAACATCTAGGCTGTCAATCAATGAACTAAAAGTGTTTAATTATTTTCTAAACTAGTAATGGTTTTATTTTGGTTAACTAAAATATTTATTTTGATTTAAAAGAAATTTAATTTTTTTAAGTAAATGAAATCTTTGGACTTATGATAGAGGGGGGACAAAGTACCAATTAGCATTTTTAGTAACTATCCAGCTCCAATAAATATTACAAATTCCTTAAAGTCAAAGAACAAAAATGAGAAAAAGCCCACCTACAAGTGTTATTTTTTCATAAGCACCTAAATCAATTCCTCTTATAGAACCTTCCAAAAATCTAATAGCCTTCATTTGTGGGAAGCATGATGAGATTTAAAATAATGCAAAACAAAATGTGATCTAAATGGGAAACAAATTTATAAATGTAGTTACCTGAACTGAGAACACAGCAAATTACACATAACTTAGAGATTCTTGATATATTGAAAATTATTTCTTTTATGATTATGCAAATCAGGATTTGAATAACGGTTGCCTATATGAGCTTATGTCAATGAGATATTAACTGGATGCTAAAATTTTAAACTCTCTGCTTCCAAATTTCAGGGCCAAGGTTTCAGAGAAATGCAGCAAAATTTATGAGACTAGAACTGTTTTAAAGAAAACACATAACAGTGACATAGAAAACAGGGTCAGGCAGACTGAAACCACAAGAGTGCGTGCAAGCCAGGCACAGTGATGAGCACGTTGCACACATTATCGCTCATTCAATCAACTCAAAGGCCTCAAGGTGCCCCATCTACTCTCAATGACTTAGCTGAACTTTGGACCTCAGGTATGCAGGAATTCTAGGAGGAATATAAGGTTTTCTTTCCTGAAACCCGGTTCCATGCCCTGGCTGCTGTGGCTCAATGTTGGCTGGAGCATCATTCCATACACTGAAAGGTTGTGGGTTTGATTCCAGTCAGGCCATATACCTAGGTTGTGGGTTCAATCCCCAGTCAGGGTGTATATGGGAGGCAACCAATCAATGTTTCTCTCTTACCTAAAGGATGATTCATTCTCATTCTCTCTCTCTCTCTCTCTCTCTCTCTCTCTCAATCTCTGTCTATCTCCCCCCGCCCCTCTCTAAAATCAGCATATCCTCAGGTTAGGATGAAAAGAAAGATCTTAGAAAACTTAGAAAGTAATTTTAAAATTTTAATAGTTATAAATTCCTACCAAAATTCCCAATAGTTTCAGAGAATACCTTGACTCAAACTAAACCAACAATTCAATTATTTTATTTATACAAGCAGTTTTACTGCCATCTGAGTCAGACCCTCAGAATGTTCTGCTATTGGATTGGAAATCAATAGATATAGCTCTACAATCAGATTCCTAGTTGTGAAAAGTTGAATAATAGTCTTTAAACATATGATGAGTCATTAGCAAACATCTCTACACTTAAGATATGTGGACTGTACATGTGGGATTTTGCAAGGGAATGAGGAAGAGGGGAAGGTGAGAAACAAAAAATAGTCAGAATCCCTTACTTGGAGAAAGTTATTAATAAAGCAAAAGTGTTCACAACTGGACAGCCCTAACCGGTTTGGCTTAGTGGATAAAAAGTCAGCCTGCAGAATGAAGGATCCTTCCTGGGTTCGATTCCAGTCAAGTGCATGTACCTTGGATGCAGGCTCGATCCCCTGTAGGGGACGTGCAGGAGGCAGCTGGTTGATGTTTTTCTCGCATCGATGTTTCTAACTCTCTGTCCCTTTCCCTTCCTCTTTGTAATATCCATAAAATATATATATTTTTAAAAAGATAAAGAACTGGACAGGTGTGTACCCTTTCATTCATCAAATAAAAATATGTGACCTAGATTTTATAACATAATTACTTAGAAAGCCTCTTCCCAGCCTTCATTTTGCAAATACAAAGAAAGTGGGAAGGAAAAAATTGAGCTCTTTAGAGCAGCGGTCGCCAACCTTTCGGACCTCACGGACCACCAATGGTCTGCGGGCCACCGGTTGGCGACTGCTGCTTTAGAGGGCTTAGGAAAACAGAGACTATCTTGGATTTTCTTTCTCCAAGGAGTGTTACAATGATTATTTCTGTGGGAGAGATAATCAACAAAGTCTCCAGTATGTCTACAAAGTTAAAAGCACAATTGGAAATAAAAAATAGGAAAGATTCCCTTTTCAATGCTCTCTTAGAAAGCATATATCAACCTAAGGTGACACAGCCAACTATATATCCCATGTATTTTTCTAACAAATATCAATAATGCCAGCGCTGTCCAAAATCATCAAGCGCGACTCACACAGGAGCAGTGGACAGTCTGCGCATTCAGTGACACCTCTGCACTGCACTGTGGCTCAGCTGAGTGCTAAAAGAGCAGGTCCCATGCAACAGAAAATGAATGATTTTGGTTTTATATAGAGTTACCACTGGTGCTTTGCTCAAGATACAAATCCTTTTCATGCAAATTACGTAAAAATTATTATATGAAGAATTAGTTGCTTTTGAAGTTCCCTTTAACAAAGAGTTACTCTATAAAACAATAGATGATCCTCAGCAGTAAACCTTGAAAAAAGGGAAATCCAGAATGTCCTAACCTTTCTATTATCTTTTCCCTCCACAACCCTAGATACCATAATGTGTTCATGTATACAAAGCAAAGGAGAGAAAAAGTAAAGATAAGGCAACACCAGAAAGTGGACTCTGTTGGAAACTCTACCTAAGTTATTAGCTAGGATTCTTATTATACAGTTTATAGTGATATATAAAGATGTGTCAAAAATAGAACATACCTTGTCATGTCTTGAATCTCCCCCTCTGACAGTATCTGGTGCCACGTGTTCAATAGTGCCACAGAACAAACACAACAAATCGAGGAGGTATGACAGGCGACAGTTTCTGGTGGGAGGCAGGAAATTTTGTAGGTCATATTTTACGAACTGCTAGAGGCCTGAGCCAGGCTTGCACCCTCTCGCAGTCTGGGGCTCCCTGTGGGCAGTTGGACATCCTTAGCTTTGCTGCAAAGGCAGGCTCCTGCCACTGCCACTGCCACTGCACTCGCCAGCTGTGAGCCCAGCTTCTGGCTGAGCTGCTCCCCCTGTGGGAGCCCACTGACCACCAGAGGGCAGCTCCTGCGTTGAGCATTTGCCCCCTGGTGGTCAGTGCGTGTCACAGTGTCATAGCTTGGTCTTTCTGCCATTAGGTTGATTTGCATATTAGCCTTTTATTAGATAGGATGATATAAAAAGGCTAGGATAACATAGCTAAATTCTATTGTGATTACTGTTTATTGTAGCACCTAAAAAGAAATAAATGAAACACAGACCATATTTTATTTTTATTTATATATGTCTATATCATAATTAAGTAGTTTTAATATATTTATTAGCATCGACCTATGACACCAGGAGGTCACAGTTTGATTACAATCAGGGCACATCTAAATATCCTTTTTTTTAAAGGAAAATCTGTATTGCTGAGAGCATTACAGATGCCCCCCTTTGCCCTCCAGGGCCCCCATCCACCCAGATCCCACCCCACTCCAGGCCTTCACCACCCTATTGTCTGTGTCCATAGGTAATGCATATATGCATATAAGATTTTCCTTAATATCTTCCTATTCTCCTTTCCTCTGAGATTTGTCAGTCTGTTCTGTTTCCATGCCTCTGATTCTATTTTATTCATCAGTTTATTTTGTTCATTAGATTTCTTGTTCATTTATTTTGATTTTTAAATTCAGTTGCTGATAGATATGTATTTATTGCCATTTTGTTGTTCATATTTTTTTATCTTTTTTCCTTCTGCCTCTTCTTCTTAAAGAATACCCTTCAACATTTCATGTAATGCTGGCTTGGTGGAGATAAACTCCTTTAGCTTTTTCTTGTCTGTGCAGCTCTTTATCTGACGTTCAATTCTCAATGATAGCTTTGCTGGGTAGCGTAGTCTTGGTTATAGGTTCTTGCTATTCATCACTTTCATTATTTCTTGCTACTCTCTTCTGGCCTGCAAAGTTTCTGTTGAGAATTCAGCTGACAGTCATACGAGTGCTCCCTTGTAGGTAACTAATTGCTTTTCTCTTGCTCCTTTTAAAATCCTCTGTTTTTCTTTATCGCTTGGCATTTTAGTTATGATGTGGACCTCTTTGGATTCATCTTGTTTGGGACTTACTGTGTTTCCTGAACTTGTAAGAC